CCAACGCCAGAGTTTAAACTATTAGCTAGCTTTGACAAAAGACAATGTTGTAAGTGACAATGAACACGATATGCACTGCAAAAGTATTTACACTATGAATTGTTAAGTCTTTATTTGATCTTGAAGAAATAAAAAATATACACATACCAGATCGTAGCATTTACAAATTTACTGACATGGTAGCTGAATATGAGCTAAAATCTTCTATGCAAATTACGGCGACCCTGCCATTTTGTCTTGAAATATTTTGTATCCATGTGTTGGGGGACCGAAAGGGTTATATTTTCAATACTTTTTCCTGCACCAAAAATTAGGAATTATGGTACCAGCAAATTAACAAAAGAAGAGGCCCATGGCAAGAGGCAGTTTACCTTGCTGGCATTGTAACTACAGCCAAATGCAAGAATTGTTGTGCCAAGAAATCTAACAGTTGGATACTTTCTGTTATTATGCTAGTGCTGTTGACTGAAGTCATTATTAAGGAAATTGCTTCAAGCTTTGTTTTGTTTTGCATTTTCCTTGATAATTCATGGCTTACCATCATCTTTGTCCAATGTTGAAAGGCTTTTGTCAGCATACTTTCTGAAAACATTGGTCAAATTTTGGTGAGCAGCCTTTTGATATAGTCATTTACAGTTTTGTTTATTTTATTTTTTTATCAATGATTGCCATATCTGAAGACATGATGCTTTCTGTCAAAATTTGGTAGAATTGTTGCATAATTTTACACATCATTTTTTGTTTTATGGTTTAACAGGAATTATTTGGCGGAAGAATGGGCATTAGTTACAACAAAAAAAAAATACGCAAGCACTTAAAGATTGGCTGATGTAAAATTTAATTCAAATTTCTCGGGTCGTTTTTGAAAAATTGTTTACAGATATTTTTATTGTTAATAATGGTAACTATGTAAGAAGGTAGATCAGCATCAGATATATATTTTTAATGCCCTTCAAGACAGGATGCTTTCACTAAAATTTGGTTCAATTCTGTTAAATGATTCTATTACGGAAATTGTTAAAATATTTTCTATTTTTAGTAATGGCGTCCTTACTTGATGGCAGACTGGCAATCATTCATACAATACTTAAAACCCTGTTGGATGGTTTTTGAACAGCATTTTGGGGTGGTGGTGTTTAATATAAATTTAACGATGGTGGTCATAGTTGACAGTGGATCATCTTAATTTGTACAAATTTAAGATGCCTTCATGATTCTACAATAGTGTAGATTTATGTTTAGTGGTTTTTGAAAACGAAAAGTCAAAGGTTTTCTTTTATTTTAGTCTTGGTAGCAGTGAATATACAGTTCAAGACGCCACAATTCCCCTATGCAAAATCATGTGGAAATTGCTCAAGCAGTTTTTGATTGATGTGTGTGTGTGTGTGTGTGTGAGAGAGAGAGAGAGAGAGAGAGAGAGAGAGAGAGAGAGAGAGAGAGAGAGAGAGAGAGAGAGAGAGAGAGAGAGAGAGAGAGAGAGAGAGAGAGGGGTAAAGGTAATCATGTATTGAGAATACTTTTTTTTTATTTGCATGACGGTACAAAGTTGAAATCAGTATGTAGTCCATTCCGTAACAAAAGGCCCTGCAGACCTGACATCGCTCACCAAGTATACGTTCGTATAAAATGCAAACGAAACTCGTGAATAATAGGGTCTGTAACCCAGGTTAAAGGACTCCCATATCAGGATAATTTCCAGCTATTTGGATGAAGTTGTTATACTCATTCCCTTGCTTTGAAAGCAGATGATAGAAGCTTTGTGGAGGGCATCAGCACAGATGTAGTACTAACTGCTGGACAGCCACTGCATCGAAATTTGTAGACGTCTTGACACTGCCGTGCTACTATATTGAGACAGGCAGGGGCGAGAGAGGGCGATTCTGCGCAGCTTTTACTGGCTTAAAATCTAACCCATATTCAAGTCATGACACTACCACATCCCGGATGTTGTCCTGTGACAATGGGCTAGCGGCAAAATAATAAGTATGGATACACTAGTAGCTGTAGATGCAGAATTACGAACAGGGCCCTAGTTCGCTTTTCACTGGATTGAAGCAACAGTAAAACTCAGCAGCCCCCTGCGCGACTGAGCACATCTTTTTAGTATGAAGCAGCTAGAAAAGGTGCCTAAAAGATTGTCTGCTTTACCTTAAGCTTGGTCAGGTTACCGCATTTGACGGGAATCCCACTTTGGTAGTAAAAAAAAAATCTGGAAAGTAGACAAAGGTGACACCACTAACCATCGGTGCCTGGAACGTAAGTACACTACTGGACGATACATCGTCATTTATACCAGTGAGAACAAGTGTAGTTGGTGGAGAACTGGCCACGTTCAACTACCAATCGGTCGAGTGAAACTTGCCAAGCTAAGAAAAGTCAACGCGTCAAAGACCCTGAAAAGCGCAGAATTCTGGATTGACCTCATAATCCAATATCCAAGCTTATAATCCGGGTTCAGCCTAGCAGAAGACAACGTGGCAAAACGTGCCCCAAAAGCTCAATGTTGCCAAACTGAAAAAGGCCGAACAGGAGAACGTGAACAGGCCTTTGTTGACGACAGGTGCAGGCAACTGGATAAAATCGATATAATATAAGCTACAAAAACGTCGGGGAAAACTGGAAATTCCTGAGACTGTGTACTCAGACTAGAACTATGCTTCCATACAGAGTTTCTGAATGAGAAACGTCTGCTACCAAAGGCCTGCTTAGAAGACAGCACTTCATCGTCTAAGAAGTCAGCCTTCAACAATCAAGGACTCCAATGCAGCTCAGTGCATTGTGAGCTTCACGGCGGAATAACTAGTCAGTCGAGCTTGAGACAAGAATGACATGAAAAAAGTTTATGGTACTTTAAAAAACAATCTACAAGAACCAGCCATCATGAAGAGCTATAATATTGAGTCTTGACAGTGCCACGCTTTTCACTTACAAAGAATTGATACTCAAACTATGTGCAGAATACTTCACCAGCATTCTCAAACAACAGTCATCTACTAATGATGATACAATTAATCGACTGCCAAAGTGGAAATCAAACAATTGCTGATCCTACAGCGCTGAATGAAACTGTAAATACAACTAACTGCCGTCAAATGGCAAACACTTGGAGAAGTTTACAAAACCGGAGGTTCACACGTGGCACAGAAACTTACTGATTTCATCCAGTCAATGTGGAGTCGGAGAATTATAATCCAGGAGTACAATGATGCAAGGCAACATACAATTCTGCTACAAACGTCGGCACATCTGTTTGTCAAAACCTTGCACTATACATGCCATAATTCGTTTGATTCGTCATCTCCATCACATCGATCGAGGTCTCGTGCCATAAAGTCCGTGTGGCATCGGAAAAGGACGAGGGACCAAAAACATGGCGTATGTAGCTAGAAAAAATGACAGAAGTAGCATTCAAACTTGTAACAGTCATCAACTGGAGCCGTGGAGAAACTGATGAGGATATGATGGTGGGTACAGACTTGAACAACAGAGAAACGCATAAGCAAGCAGCAGAAATCTCATTAGTGCTGCATGTCCTCTATAATCAAGCAAACCCATGTGGCATCTCTTGTCAAGTGTGCCACAGACTGTTCTGAGCACAAATTGGATTGATCAAGCATTCATGTACTCACAGAAAGAAAACCAGTTAGTGATGTTATGATCAACTTGAATGACAAACAAAAACACTGACTAAAGGTGTTCAAGCAAGTTCTATACCAATTAAATTTGATCTGATATGGTCCAACAGTTTTGGTGAGAAACTTGTTCTATAAATTTATCTTAAATCTATTAATAACACTAGTTATATGTGATTGGAGATGCTAGTCTTTTCTTGGTATTCTGCCTGGGTATTATACATAAGAACTACCTCTGTTGCTAAGAGAACTACTCTGGATGTGATTCTGGCAGCACATATCCTAATAAATACCCTAATCACAATTAGTTGGTTACCTGATTGCTATTGAAGCCACACAGCTGCCATTGGGATCCAATACAAAGTTGTGGTAGAATATGTCTTTATGAATCACTCTACTGAGTTTCATCAAAGTTAATTCAGACATTTTGGTGAAGAAAAAGTAATTCATATAAGATCCACAATGTTGCCTGGGAAACCACTGATCATAATTCTGCTAGAAGATATCCTATGAAAAATTTCAAATAAATTTCATAAAAATTGGCTCAGCCATTCTTTGTGTCTGTGTGTATGTGATTTGGATTTTTCATTTAGCTTTAATGATAGTGTGGCATTTTATAGTTATGTTTAGCAATGGGGCATCATGCAGCAGACATGTAGCAACATGTCCCAACCAGGCACATTATCCTGCCACCAGGCCAACCAGTCATAACACTAATCTCTTAATGCTGAGCACCTAGTGAGGCAGCTGTTAGTACCATTTTTATAAGTCTTTGGTATGATATGGCCAGAGTTTAAACCTGCGACCTCCTGCATCCGAGGCAGATGTTCTAATCACTAGGCCACTGGATGGTCCACAGCCATTCTGCAGAAGTTGAAAATAGGCTTTGTACCCATTTCCTTCCGAACAGCTTTAATAAGGTATAATATCTGACATTCTAAAACTGAAAATATACTTTCTATATGGTTGGTGTAAAAGGGGTGCTATCCTGCACAAATATTTAGCACAGAATATTATAGATGAAATGTTTACAAAGTCTACAAAAAATGGCTTAGCCATTTATCTTCTGGAGATAACAATAAGCCCAAAGGATATGACATCATTCACCTGTGTAACTGACATGTTATCTTGTGATAACAAATTCAAATAAATGCTGAAAGAGAGATTGGAGCACTTAGCTGTAACATTGCAAACATTGGTTTAGAGAAGACTAGGTACACATGGTTTAAAAAAATAAATACTGCATGCTTTGAAAAATATTTATTGTTATTGTTGATTGGTTGGTTCTTTACAACAACTTCTACACATTATTGGCCATATCAAGCCAAGGAAATTGAAACAATGTACCCTTCTTATGGACTCAAACCCAGGTTAAGGCAGGAACAGAACCTGCAACCCTTGGATTACAAGTCTCACACTCTACCAAATGAGCTGCAATGGCTTTTCATTGATGTGAAAAGAAACAGACTTCCATGATGCACTTCAGACATAGTATTTAGGTTTGGAAAAATATGTAAAGTTGTGATAAGAAAGCACAATAAGTACTTGAAATATTCAATACTTATGGTTCATACATTTAAATAAATTAATTAGGAAAATGTCCATGACAAATTACAATGACAATATGGGAAATGTTTATGATAAGTTATAATGACAAAAATCTTAAAGAAAGAGAAAAACAGCTGTACATAAAGGGAACATTCAAACTGGAGAACTTGTAGAAATAAAACTGTAATGTTTAAAAAATTACAAGTATATATACACTATATATAAATGAGATATTTGATTTAAATGTGTTGATTTTAAAGCACTTGATCAGAAAATGACTGACTCAGCATAAACTATCTTTACAAAATAACTGTTTCATTCAGCGCAAAATATTTTGATTCTCTCATTTTCCAAAGAAGTTTCTCATTTCTAGTTTCAGAATTATTCATAACAGACAAAAAAGAACAAAGTCTAAGATTTTTCCTTCTTTTCACACTCAATATGTACACAAAACTATGAAAACCATTGTTTATGAGTACAGTGTCACAATGATAGTATATTTCCAAAATAGCACATGTCGATCTTAAAATATGGCATCCATCAGTGTACTGGATAGTTTTTGATTTAGTTTCTGGTCGCCTTATTTGTGATATTATCTTCTCTTCAGAAATCGTATAAAGATAAATAGGTTAATCTCAAAATATAAGACAATGCATCAAGAATATCAGAGATCCTCCTGTACAATAACACCAAAAAAAAATCATGTCAGAAAAGGATTTTAGAAATTAAACCATCTTGGCCAAACAAATAAATAAGTAAAAACATAAATAAATAAATAAATAAAAAAATTACTAACTCAGAAAATATTGGAGAGAATTTTAAAAAACTTGCAACTCTTAATGTATACAAAATTGGGGATGTCAAAAGTAACCCTTAATTTTTCTACATATTTTGGTAGAATTAAGTGCAAATTTCATGCACATATCTTTGGAATTTTGCACAAGTAGAAAGTAAACTAATGTGTAAACCAACACAACCCATGGGTCATCCTGTTTTTATGTGACATGCAAGTGATATTTTTTGGTAAACAAAATATAGTAACATATAAATATTTGCAGCTTTAATAATACCATGCATTTTGGAAATTATTGGCATCCAAGAATGTTACACTGAATTTCAGGTAGCCTCTTTCCAAAATGTGCTTCTAATTCTCTGAGTCATGACTGTAAGATGGTGAATGTTACTCAGAAAAATAAGCTTCACCAATCAAATGCAAGAACACCTCATTCACATGTACAGATATCACTTATAATTAAACTTAACCAATATACTGAAATACGCTTATAAGCCATGTCCAATCACATAATTGGTTTTAAAAGTGTTCATAAACTCAGCCAATCACATGTAAGAACATCTCATTTATATGCACAGGTATCACTTATAATTAAACTTAACCAAAATACTGAAACAAGCTTATAAACCATATCTGATCAGAAAATATGTTTAAAACATTAGGCCTTTGGAGTGTTCATAAACTCAGCTAAGCATGTGTAAGAATGCTTCATAAATAATTGCACTCATCCAAGATCTTTGTGATGAAAAGTCATGAACCCAGTCTGATCACAGCCTGTACAACAATAGTCCAAAAAGAATTTTCATGAATACAAGACTATGTCTTTTCCCTTAAACTCCAAACTGTTTAAGCCATCTCTGATATTCTCCAGCAGTAAAAATGTTGGATATCAAACTGGCAACATTTTCAAGTAGGAGCAACTAGAAATCATAAGAAGAATTAGTGATAATAAGATTTTAAAGCTGGATAGTTTGGCAATATACTGTAAGTCAGATTGGTGCCATTTTTACTTACAACCAAGTCATGTTTTGCATTTAAACCCCATACTAATATGACCATTAATTTAGATGAAGTAGTGATAAGTTATTTAAGATGGTCATTTTGGTTGCCATAATGTTCATCCAAGTGTCACCATTTTCATTCAGGACCAACTGGACCACGACATGAATGTGCAATTATCCAAGTAGTTTAGGTGGAGTAGTGATAACATGCTTTTGCTAATGGATACTGGACAAAAGACTATCCCATAAGCTGTCTAGTCTATGAACTAGTTAAAGCCAAAGATGAAGTGTTAATAAGATTAGCCAATAATAAGATCAGCCAATTAGATGCAAGTATTCTAGAATGAATATTGTTACCTGCTACAGTCATTTGCAGTCAAAGAATTGATACCTTTCTGTAGCATAATAGGTACTGATTCCTCAGACGAATAAATACTGGATTCCATAAGATTATAAAAAAAATCTTCTGACAGCAGAGCTAATGTGATTCTGAAACATTTAACACCACCATTCAATCTTGGTACATCCAAAAGACCAAACTTCTCTGAATAAGTACCTAGTTATCTAAAATTCCAGTATAATAATTGTGGAAACTGCTAGAAGATTTAATGAACATGTATAAATCAAGTAAAAATCCCTGACATCAGTTGATGAACATTGTAAAGGGTCAAGGCATACTATTTCTTGTGATAACATCTGAGTACTCTATAGAGAGAATATAACCCTAGGAGGAAAATGAGAGGCTATTGAAATCATGGAGGGGTAGCAAGTGCTGAACCATGATTCTGGATTGGAACTTCTGCTATAGTATAGAAAGATTCTGTCACATGGTCAACATTTAGCTGATCATGTGATCCAGTCCAGAAGTCATTCCTCTGACAAAGGCCTTGTAATAATGTCCAAAGCTAAGAAGTCAAAACCTATTATACTACAGATAGGTATCTTTTGTTAGTTTCATTTGATGCAATGTCTCATTCAAATGCATTCATTTTATTTATTTGCCAAAAGTGTCAATTATGCCATTTCCCTTTCTAAACAGCTAGACAAAAATGGTTTATCTCCCCTGTGTTGAGAGTAAAGAGTTAGATTTTCAAAGATCAACTATTTCTGAAGATGTACCTAAGTACATATGCCAAGGCAAAAACAAAATTGTATAATTCAATATTCATCCAAATTTATGTTGCCCTATTGAATTACTTATAAGCAGACAATCAAATCTCACTTTATTGTCCAACAAGCCTTTTCATGCATGTAACAAAATTCAATTCTGGTAATTTAGATCAGACCTAGATGGCAGAATAACACAGACCAATAGCTGAGTGTGGATATAACTTGCTTATTTTTATTATAACTAATGTAGTTGCTTAATTGCTCAATTCTCTACCTCACCCAGATGCTGTTTAAACTTTCTAATTTGTAACAATGATAAAAAATACTGTATCCATACTGTTTTAAAAAGAAAATTCATTCTTCTCCACTGATTTCACAACTTCCAAATCTTTAGCTATCCACTGAATTATCACTGCAGTCTTTCTTTGAGGATATTTTTTAAAAATAAGACCAACTCCCCAATGAAACTTTGAAAGAGCAAAAAACTTGTTAAGTGATCCAAATTATTTTATGACTTATGACCAAAAAAATGTCAAATAAAACTTACATCCACTTGCTTACAAAAAGAAGACATTATCTATGATGTTACTAATCTTGTGCATTTATAGTTCTATACTTCATACATCCAATTGTGAACGCATTATTCTTCCCATGACAAAACATGTACATCACACATTATTCCTTGCTTGTTGTTCAAAACAAATGTACATTTCTCATTACAATTTTCTCGAAACACATGATCATATTTCTTTTTTTTCAATAACAAGACTCAAAATGTTTTCCAGTCCACGATTCAAATTCCTTGATTTGGAAAAGATGTGATGTGATTATGATTTTTAACATAGCTTTAACAATTTTTCAGCCATATTGCTATGATGTCTGCAGTGTGGCAGTTTATAGTGATGTCTAGCACTGGGGCATCATGCTGTAGACATGTAGCATGATGTCCCACCCAGTCACATTATCCTGACACCTGGCCGACCAATCCTAACACTAAACTCTTAGTGCTTAGCGTCAAGGAAGGCAGCTGTTAGAACCATTTTTGTTAAGTCTTTGGCATGCAACCAGGGATTGAACCCATGACCACCCGCATCCGAGGTGGATGCTCTAACCACTAGGCCACTGGAGTGGATTTGAAATAGAATAAATGCTGACCTGGGAAAGGAGATGGAATCACTTAACATTCTGGAAATTGTTCCTTGTACAATGGTCTCCCTTATATGAGGTCACCTCTTCTGCACTAGGATTGTGGCCTTATAAGAGAGGTGACTTTTTTTAGAATTATATCACACAGACTGTGAGTAACAATAATAACATAAAGAAAAGTGTAACTAATATTAAATATTGCATATTTCTTTTAAAAATCACATGCATGCTATAGGATAAATATTATATCAATTTTATTTAAAATATGAATAATCATCAACCAAGGGGGAAAACCATTACAAAATCTTGTCAATAAAATCAGGGTACATACTGTAAATATTGTCCATTCCATTTTCACATTGCTGCACACCAATTTCAAGTTCTTGTACAAAATGCACGTTTACAAATGAACCAAACTCGCCACAAAAATGACTAGTTTTAGTAATTACTGTAATATATAATTAACAATGAACTATCTAAGTAATAATGTATTATTCTCTGATGACACCCTCATGAAGAACAAACTATTCTAAATACAAACAAAAGCAATGGTAAAGCATGCTTAAATATATAAGTACAAAAGCACCAAGTGTATTGATTTGCATTAAAAGAATAAATTGGAGAGCATATACTTCAATATTTACAATGAAAACTGCCATTCTAGATAATAGTCATTCTGATTATGTTTTAAATATATTTAAATTTGTTTCTGATCTCATTGTTTTTAGAAGTTCATTCCATAGAATAGTACCAGAGAAAAGAAGTGATTTTGTGTCAACATAAACTCCCAAAAGTTGTCAACATAACTTCCAAGCATTTTTTGTGTCAACATAAACT